TAATCAGGTCCCAGGAATCGCCTCCACTTCTTCTTCCTCTTCTGGGGAAAATAAAAAAATAGACTGAGTTCGAATTTTTTGCCCTGTGCTTTTGCCTTCCTGATTCTTATCCAAGAGGCCCCCAAACTAAGCGTAATTGTGCATGTGTGAATTCTCCCCGATTTGGTTTTGTCCAAAATAATGGCTGTTTTCCGTCTTGCCGGCAGTGTGTGTCATGTCTTCGTCTGCAGGGATTCTACCATGCTTTGTTCCCCTGTACCATCGCGTTACGTTATAAAAATGTACTCAATTACTGGAGCTCTGTTTTCGGTGATCGTTGCTGTTAGCGAAGTTACCGAACTATTATCTCACACTAATGATGAAATTCTGCCAACGAATCCCTCCTCTGCGGACAATCAGACTGTTATTGCACCAACTCCAGCCGTGTGCGATGCATGTGGGAACCGCTAATTGTAAAAAGCATGCAAACGCATCCTCTAACTACAACAGTCTGTCTTCCTTCTCTGAGGATGCAATAAAGTTTGACGTCGAAACAACAGGGGAATACAATTCTTAGGGAGTTTTAAGTAATTCCTTTGACTCAATTATGCAAAACTCAGTGTCCTCCATGGGATTCGAATCCACAACAAAAAGGGGAAGGCTTTACTACAGCCAGCTGAACTACAAGGCCCTACCGGAAACCGTGAGCTTCACAACCGCCAACTCCAACCATTAAGTAATTGTGCCTGGTAGTTGTCTGATGGATTCTATATTGATCGTATGGGAAATCCTGCTTGGGCAGTCAGCTCACTTTACAGTAGTCGCCAAAGACCACGCAACTTTCATAACTTAGTAAAAGTTTGATCATTACTCGAATATCAGTGTGAATGCATTTAGGAATACTTAGAAATAATATTGAACAGCATTAAGCATATTAAGTACTTAAAAGAACTGTGTTTTTAAAGAAAAATAAAATTTTCTCGATAATCCCGTGGTTCTGGAGACGTAAAAAAGAGCTATAAAGACAATAAATTTAGATATTTTGTTAAGTTGAAAACTTGAAGCAACCACTTTCTTTATATAGAAAGAGCTTTTTTTAGTCAAAATATTCTGTACATTTAACCGTTAGTGGATAAGTATTTATTGAATGTCGTGCAAAAAAGTGTGTCATCATTTTCTTCGTTTTCAGTGTCTTTGTTGATAAATTGCGCATCTGTTCGACGTTTACATCAAAACCTTTAAAATAAGATATACACAGAGAGCATTTACCGAAAGAAAGTGTTTTCCGATATCAGTTTTAATGAACGTGGCCACGTGGCTGATATTAAGAAATGCCTCAAAAAGCAAACCACATTGTCAACAGTGGATCATGTCCGCAGTGGAGTTCTGAAACTACTATTCCTAAGATTAATAAAAAAATTTTCCATAAAAGGATACCTCTTAGAAGGTGCTTTGATTAGATATTCGGCTGACGAACTTCTGCGTATATAAACTTTTTCCAAGGTGATGTAACAATGAAATTAGAGAATTTTGACAATTTCTTTAAGTTACCTGAAGATAAACGCTTCAATTTGACTAGAGATGAAAGAACTTTCTTTTCTCTTTATGATGGATTGTTTTCCGCATAACTGGATAAATTCCACAATCGGTTGTAAGCTTGCGAAGTCAAAAAAACTGGTCAAATACATTGTCATTTTTTGAACTAGTTATTATTCTTCTGTCTGTTCCGTTTCTAAATAACGCAAAAGTGGAACGTATAGTATACAAAAAACTATATTTCTACACGACTTACAAGCATTTTTCGGATTGATGCGTTGTAGGAGGCTGGGCAGTGCGATTAAACACGCGGTCACCGGTAAGGGCCTGATGGCTCAGTTGACTAGAGCGTTGGCTGCACTAAAGCCTGTATCTTGCTACCTGGGTTCGAACCCCACTGAGACCGCCGAGTTTGTCATGGCGTGTTCAAAAAAGTATTACTGTTGTTTCGCTGATCTTGTCTCCTTTTTGTCCCACTTATTTTGCCAACCGGCTGATTTCATTCCTACTCCTTTTTTTGTTGTCTCCCAATTTGGGCCGTTTTGTACAGTGCCGACGAACGGCGACCATTCGGGACCAGAACGAGTTCTCTGACGTTCTTGTGTTTTTTTTTTTAAATTTTATTTACAGGCCGAACCGGACGGTTTTTCGCACTTTCACGTCTACGTCTGTGCCGCCTTCCTGATGCACTTTGCGGACGAGCTGAAGCGTCAGCGCGACTTCCAAAGCCTCATGCTCTACCTCCAACGCCTGCCCACTCAGCGCTGGGGCAATGACGACGTGCAGATGGTGCTGGCCGAGGCCTTTAGGCTGAAATCCCTCTTCTTTTACGCCCCCAAACACCTGGACTACCGGAAGAAGGACATTGAGTAGAGTCGGACGGACACACGCACTTGTAAAGAC